TCGAAATTAATTCTCCTGTTCTTCAAATCCAAACTATTGATTGGAACGCCACTATCAAGATCACTCCTTCCGACGAAAAGCAGGACAAATACGTCGATTTAACTATAAATCAACTGGAGAAAGAGGTATCATCCCTATTACTAGATGAAAAACCAAAAGAAGTTATTATACCGCCAAGTATCTTAACAACAGATGGTGAATTAGCAATAGAAAATTCACAATTACATAGCCAAGAGAAAGCATATCCAAGTTTTTTATTTGGTCTTAATGAATCCATTGATAAAGAAATAGACTCTCTATTAGAAGACCTTATGTATTTGGCTCCCATGGATAAAAACGGACCGATGAATGGTCAATGTGGTCCACAAACTGATCAAATGGAACAATTTCTTTCCGATGCATTTGGTTTCAAAAATATTTCTGGAAAATATATTGTTCCGGGCATAAAATCATTTCAATTAGACAAACCTCTGCATGGTTTGAATCCAAATACACAAATTCATTTTCCTAAGAATATGGCAGATTCATTTACAATGACTGTACAAGAAATCATCGATTGGCAACGTTCATATAAAGTTTATGCTGATAAAACAACTAAAGGAATAAATAAAGGATTTCTTAACCGTGCTTTACAAGGACAAAGTCAAGATGGTGAAGAAGCCTTTCGTATGAAATATGTCGTACGCATTTCAAAATGTCCTATCTTGATGGAATTCGATGCTAAAATTATATCTCGCAATGTGAATGAAGATTGGCCTAATCGAATTAAACTTGTTTCCATTACAGGTATTGATTTTGCTGGTCGAAAACATGACGTAGATGATATTCTTTACTATATCTCGAATTGGGAAGAAATTTATCACATTGATCAACGATCAAATTTACCAGCACTCTATAGTGAAAGAGATTTTTATCGAAAAGTGAATAGACCACGAGGTGAACTTAATGAAGAACGTGTTCGAAACAATTTGATCCGTATGACTAGATTACGATTACGTGCATGTGATGAGGAAGATATTCAGATTGTTGTTGAAATAGGTATCGGACTTGGAGTATTTTCTGGTAGTCATATTGGAATTGATGCAAAAGTACGAGCACTCTCAGCAGAAGCTATTCGAATAGTACTTGAGCAAGATGGACCATCATACAAGAATATTCGTGCTATCGTTTTTGCTCTACCTATATTCAATAAAAACAATTCTAACGATCGTCATCTCGATGTTTTTAATGATTTTGTTGATGAATTTCGTAAAGCACAATACAATGGTCCTATACCGGTACTGATTACTGATCAAGACATGCATCGAATAACTGTAACTATCGCTCGTCATGGTTTCACTGTTGCCGAAGTAAATCCTGGTGATTCACATGGTGTTTTTGGTGGATATTGGCAAAATCGCAGATCATCTGTACAAGGAAAATTAGCTCTGACAACAGCCGGTTTACTCGTACAACATCATCTTATCAATCCATGCGTACTCGATACGGATAACTATCACCTCTTAGAAATCGATGAAGTAGCCACTTTAGATAGGCGACGCATTATATCGGATGACAATGAGTGACCTGTCACCAACCTATTGTCGTAAACAATACTTGTTTTTTATCATTGAATAAGTTTTCATGCTACTCACCGTTTCAAATTTGAGATCATTTTGACCATTTTTTCAATATTCAAAATAAAATTGGCATAAAAATATATTCTTAAATGCCTGAAAAGAAAGACAAAACTACAAATGTACAAAAGGTTAATTCTACTTTGATCGAAAATATCGAAATTATATAGATTATTGTGTAGTTAAAAGCAAAGAATTGTATACATTTATTCCATTTCTAGCATTGATTTGCATAAAAAACCGGAAGAACTTCAATCAACAAATTAGCTGGAATTGCGCAAGTTTTCTATCTATGTCTTTTTTTGTTCCTATAATAAGATGTGACGAGTCGGTAAGAAGATTCCATAAATTGATCAGACCATCATTGTATCATTCATGAAGAATATTCATACGATTTTACATTGTTGTTGGTTTGGACATTGAGTATCTTTGTACCCATACCTTTATTTGTGTTTGATCATTTAAATGCTTAAAATTTTTAACGAAATACGCCTGAAAAGCGCAAGTATTGCCTATAAATAATGACAGAAATAGTTGTATGGAAAAACGATAAAATTATTTCTTTTTTTTTTTTGAAGTGATAGCATGGTTATCAATTATGGTTCCAATCATTATAGTAAAAATACTGTCGAAAATGCGTCAAATTTAGACTTTTGTATAATACCGGGTAGACCATAAGTAAGGTAACCGACAAAAAATTAAATATCTCCATTACGGCTCGAGCAAACGAGCTGATTTTTTTACCAATGATAGATACATGTGCAAGCTTTATATACATAAAGACATGCCTAGTGAAACCCTTTGTTAAGTATACTGTTTTTTCCTACCTGTGAAAAAGTAAAATTTTTGTGTTGATATCAGTAGTGATATTTAACAAAGGGCCTTTCTAGGCTTGTTCTTTTCTATCATTAGTAAAAAGTTCAACTCTTTTGCTCGAGTCATAATGGAAACACTCAATTTTTTGTCGGTTATCTTACTTATCGCCCACCCCGTAGATACGCGTGTGAGAAAGAATGAACATAAACGCGCTCATAAAACTAACTCTATAAACATTTATACGGCCATATATTCATATTGGATAGAAAAGGTTTGTATACATTCTTACTCAAAACTTAAATTTCCTGGTATCCAGATCACTACTTATTTTTTATACGCGTTGAAATACTTAGAAACGACTACTTTTGAACGTTTATATGGATTTTTATCAAATCCTGTCTGCTTTGGTATTACTCTAATAAAATCTCTGGCTTTATATTATAAAAATCTGATGCCATCGAAAATAGTCTTCCATGGTCATTACGATCACTTCTTCTTAACAAGTGATTTCTTCTTTCAATGCATTGGTCCGATTTTAGATGCGATTGTGAGCGTGGTTACGGGTATGACTGAAAAACCAAGACATACCTATATCCACACTCTCATACCTCACATCTACACATCCCACACTCACACCCATATTCACGCACACCCGCACTCTACATTTAGTACTCACCACAATCAGCAAGAAAAATTAAACCCAGAAACTTGTACCCACATACAGTATTTGATTTTATTATGTTACTTTTTATGTGTAAAAATCGTTGTCGGACTCTTTTGTTGCTGTCACTATGATTATATTTTACCCTTTTTTTTCCTTTTTCTTTCATTTTGCATTTTTAACAACACATTTTATCGATAAGAATCGCACGTGGCAAAAGAACAAAATGCAAGCGAAGAAGTAATCAAAAAAAAACACTAAGGTTGCAAGAAAAAACAACGAAATCAAATGAATTACGACTCAAGTTTATTGTTGAATACAAAATAATTCCTTATCATATATTTAGTCTCTGAATTCTTGCAGGTTCTTTCATCAATAAAGGTTTACCATTTTATATGGCCCTGCTGATAAATTTCCACTGAAATGATTCTCTACGAACGTTGTGAAAATGAAAGTGCATGATAAGATCCTTGCTAACACATGTTAATTTAACTCAGTTTCATATTGCATACAAACTTTTTAATGGTTTTGCTAGACGAAAAAAAAAACATTGCACAATTCACTGATTGCTTATCAAACTTTTTAATGCACCAGTGAAAGCAGAAACTCAAACATATATTATGCAAATAAATCGTTTTGTCCCCGAAAAAGAATGTCGAGAAAGTATGAAAAGCAAGAAACTGCTATTCGGTCTCTATGAATAGGATATTTTTTAAAAGAAATCTGTTTGGCAATCCAATTAAAATATTGTGACAAAATGTATTCATTCATCTCATCGATTGAATAGTACCAAAAAAATGAATTATCTTAGACATATCATCAAAAGATTCATCATACTTTTTAAACTTCTGAATTCAAAGTCATAGTCCTTTACATCGATCTATGTCTTAATGATTAAAAATTTTATGAATTATAAATCATCTAATAAAGAATTTCATCCTGCACAATATGATATCACATAGAAAAACTTACTTTATATTATGTGTCAACCATTCATGTTTATTCGAGTTTTCAACCGAAGGGACAAGAGTATTTTCACTTTTTCGATTGATAAGTTTTTTTTAAAGATTCCAATAAAAATATCTAATTAAGAAGTTCGCTCTACCCTCTCAATTACAATCGAAATACAGTTCCAGTTTTTAGTTCATAGAAAAAAGATGAATTTGTTTTACAAAGGTAGGACCGAGCCGAAACAGGATTTGAAGATTCTGTTTAGTGGAAATCAAATACAAAATTTACTGTTGTTTTTGGTTCTATTTACGGCAACTTTTCGATAAGAATTCCATAAACCTCACATTGTCATTACTCTGAAGAAATCCTAAAAAAATTTCAATGTGCGATTCAATATAGTGGAAACTTTTGTTGATGGGCTAGTTCGATTATTTTCGCAATCATATCCTTTCTTCTGAAAATCATATGTTTTCGTTGTTTTTACGACTTAAATCAATCAATAAAGACTATGTTTCGAAAGATATGAATGATAAAAAGTTTGATAATATGATACGAGGAACGTGTCAAGCCTTGATTGCATATGATTTCTTTCTTATCGTCTTGTTCGTGGATATACAATTTCTTCGAGTTGGGAAGAACGAGAAAAAAAAAGAATCAAATAAAAGTACCTCTCATACTAGTGATATTTTAAAGCATGTCACAATTCAAAGACATAAGCAAAAGAGAGAAAGAGAACGAAAGAGAGAAGGATTAGCAGCGAGTATCAAACTACTTCAATTTTTCGATCGTTTGCACCAAGCAACAACGCAATGTTGGTTCTCATACACGCTGTCGTCTATTTTCCTTTGTTTATTTTAACTGATGCAATCAATCCTCATCTTTACATTGAAAGATATCGAAATTCATCTAAATCCATTCTGTCTAACTATACCACCACGAATATAATTCTTTCATCGCCTCATGCTGGCAGTGACATGCCAGAGGATGTACCCGATCGTACGATAGGTGGTTGTCGACGAGCAAATTCAACTGTATGTTCATTTCAGTTTGATGATCCATGTTCTGATGGTGTACGTTGTTCAGTTACTACAGTACAAGACTTTGCAACTGCTGATCGATTCGCCGAAGATGTAGCCGATAAATTAAATCAAACTTATGGTATTATACCATTTCTCGTTGTCGCCAAATGGAATCGAAAGAAGATTGATTTTAATCGAGAAATGAGTGAAGCAACTTTCAATCATCCGGAAGCGATTAAATCATATCGTAGTTATCATGATTATTTAGAAGAAGCCATTGCTACAATTGAGAGAAAATTTCATGGTCAAGGTTTACTTCTCGATGTTCATCAACATGCACAAGGAAAGTAGGTTGATTGCATTTGATAATTCAGTTTTCCCGTTCTTTTTTTTTTTTGTATTCAGTTATACAATGGTCGGAACTCTGCTAACTGGAGCTCAACTCAATCGTGGCGAATTATCTTCGACTTCGATCGAATTACTTATTCGGTCATCTTGTTCTCAGAATCGGAGCGAATGTATTCGAGGTTCAAAAGCATTTGGTACTTTTCTGGAATCAAACGAACTCGGTATTGCTTATCCTTCATTAAACAATCCAATGCCCGGCAATAAGACTTTTTATGCTGGCGGTTTTATCACAAAAAATTATATTTCACGTATCAATGCTATACAAACTGAGCTATCCTATGTAGTGAGAGACGGGTTCGATCGACAATTTTATGCAACAAGATTCGCTCGAGTTCTAGTTGATTTTATGCTTGCAAATGACTTGTTGCGAACTGATAATGTCACACTGCCGCATTCGCACGGGATAGCATTGTTGCATAGCAATGCATATTTTTGTAATATTTTCTTTCTATTACTGTTGCTATTCTTCTGCTCTCCTGTTAAAGATTAATGATACCTATACTGTTTCATCTTGTTTTCTTGCTATATGTTTAAAAAAAGAGTTAAGTGATGTTTTACTCTTTTAACATACAATATGTTCTCAACTGTTTCAAACAATCAACTAAACAATCTCTCAGCAATTAACGAACTATAGCAAACATGATTTTATCATTACAGTACATGGAATGAGATATTGGATTTCAGCCTGTTTTGAGTATGGGTATGGATGTGTAAAGAGTGAATGCACAATCGCAGCCACACCCGCACCGCATCTCATTCTTTTGTAACAATCACTTATTCTGTCACATGCTATTCAAAGAAGTTTCAATATTAATTGCATACAAATATACAATTTCGTGTAATTTTCTCAATTAACTTTCTTGTTAATGAAAAAAAAATTAATATAATTTTCTAATGATCAATTATTACAGTCCACGAAAATTCAATTTCTCCACTTCGATTTTTTTTGCTTTTTATTACTATACGTTTTGTATCTATTAACCTACTATATATAGAAAGAAAGCCCAGAACGCGCCGTATCTTTTGGTATATTTACATAGAACATCAAGTGCAGTTTCGAAATGTAAATAGTGTATTTAAAAAAAGTGAGTGACATTTTTTCCTTTACAAAAACGGGTATCCATAATTTTGTAACATTTTTTGTTTCGCATAGATCTCGGCTTAGGTAAATGATAAAATCTTGAATTTTTTTCCAAAAGATGCACTATGGAAAGCTCTACAAAAGTTGTACTGATCGGATTTCTCTTTACCTGTTCTAGTAACTTTTCTTATACTCACAATGAACAGCTTACATGGCAACGTCACTGCCGATCATATTGAAAACTCTAAAAAACTTACATAGATCAATCTGATCGTGAATCAGAAAAGACTTCGAAATATTTAAAGTATGATGGAAAGAAACACTACTGTCGACACTAACATGTAAGTTGTTCATTTTGAGTATTAAAAAAAAGTATTAGAACGGGTAAAAAAGAAATTCAATCATACAGCTTTTGTAGAGCTTTCCGTGGCACATCTTTTGGAAAAAAAATTCAAGCTTTTATCATTTACCTAAGCTGAGATCTATGCGAAACAAAAAATTTCGCTCCTTTTTTTAAAACACTGTTTACATTTCGAACTGCATTTGTTGTTCAATGTAAATATACCAAAAGATACAGCGCGTTCTGGGCTTTCTTTCAAACAGGTAGAACAACGGATGATCCACCGTCTTCAAAAGGTTAAAATAGAATTAGTTGTTAATGAAATGAAATATGATGAACAGACAAGTGAAGTTTTATTTGAATCATCAAAAATTTAAAATCCCACATACGATCAAAATAGATAATAGTAAAATTGATTTCAATCAATTGAAAAAACGTCCTAAAGAAGTTTATATTGTTTCATAAACACACTCATATAATAGTATGAATCAAACATGTTCAAATATAGAAGCCAAGATTTTTAAAGAATTTAATTCTTACATAGATGCTTATGATGTTTCACGAAAAGAGTCATAGTGAGAAGGCTCCACCAATTAGCGACGCATTTGTTTCTTCAGAATTAGCATCATTTTTCATAAGTTATATGTAATCACGAGTATATACATAGTAGAAATAATCGCGACCTAGTTTATGGCGTAGCTGGCTTTTGTAAACAAAAAAGTTCTGTTTATATCAGTATTGGCTATAAAATAACACTAGAGGAACAGCTGGGGATATATTCGAATCAGTGATCAAATATAGTATATATAACTACATTTTCATAGATAAAAACTATCAATTTTAGATACTTGACCTTTTGTTCTTTCATTTTATATGTCGTTTGACGTGTCGTACTCAGAATTTCGTCGATTCTCAGGTAAAAAAACGAGGGTGCGAGTGTGAGAATCTTTTTTTCATCGAAGCTCATTTATATATTCTTCAATTGTTATTTGATTTTTGATAGGGAATTGATTGCTGAAAAGTAATAGTTAGAAGTAGTTGATTGTTTTGTATGATAGACTTATCGGTCGATCTGTTTTCAATTCAGTTTTTGAAATATTAAAATTATAGAGTACTTATTGTTATAAAATTGATTCGAATTTCGATATGCTTTTCTCTCATGCAAATTTCAAAATTAGTACCGATGTGAGATTTGCCACATTAGTCACACATTAAAGCTATCTAATGAGATCCTTAAGCAAGATTGAAAAGCGTCATCATTTGCTTGACGCTGAAACCAACATTTAGACTCTGTACAGTGTGATCAATTCGTGCAAGAATTTACTCACTCACGAATTTTCCAGGCTGATCGGGGAACAAAATGAAATGAATCTCTTCCTCGAGTGTCTTTACAAAAGTGTGAAGTGACTGTTTATTGTTTTTGTTGGTCATTAATTTTTTGTTCTTGCTACTGGATTGATGATACATGTAAGATCGCTGGACTAGTATAGTGAGCAATACGTTGCAGAAAATCTTGATTCGATTAAGAGACCAATGGTTAGACTGATTATTCGAGACACAGATCCAGTTGATGAATACATGCCTCGACCAGCTCAGTAACACCCTCGAGAAGACTACAAGAAGTCGAATATTTGCGCTGAGAGAGCAGAAAGAAAGCTTCGACAAATGCCGGAAAATGTAGTCCTAAAAGACGAAAATCATATACGTCACAATGTAAATGCATATACTGATCAATTAATGCACATATTTCTGACTAAACGGCATCGTCTATTAATTTTTGACTTACCGGTTGCCGGAGATTGCGAAGTGAATTGTCTACATTTGTAGAAGATTTGAATGTAGAGCAAATCGATGGATGACATAGTGGCTGATTGATCGATAATGCCGCAGATGCTATTCAAACAGAATGAAACCGACTTTAGTCTATCAACTGGCAGACACGTGAAAAACAGACGAAACGTAGAAATAATTGTTGATTATGAGAGGAAAGCAACTAACATTCGCCTTTTAGCACATATGCGCATATTTTCAAGAAAAGAAAACTTTATAACGTGTATCAGAAAATGAAAAATGACTATTTTTCTCTCCTTAGTTGAAACCATCATTATGAGTGAAACATTCAAATTCCGTGCTGCTCACGTACATTTGTATCTTTTCGTTAAATCGAAATTTTAGAACACAAAAATGTGACCTCAATATTTTTCAAGTACAACTTCAGATTCGGATTGATTCACTCTAAACATTTGTAGGTACCGATCCTTGAGTTTTACGTGAGAAACGGGGTTCATATCCTTGCAGACTTTCTGGATCAAGAAATCTGAAGTTGGCGTTGAGAAATTTTGAGATTATACTTTTGTCTTATTAAATCTGGAGGCAAGCAGCGTGAAGCTGATAGAGAAATAGTTAAGAATTGTCGTTTGATGGTACCGCATTTTCTGCGAACATCAGATGTTGAGCAGCAGGGAAGTGGGGAAGCAAAATTCTTTTTGAATTTTTTCAGACGGAATCGAAGTGAATCTCTATTATTCCACTTGAATAAAAGGCAATTTGTACGAACAGGCAAACCAAAAAAAATATGCTCGTGCTCTAGACACACGGCAATCCTACAGATGAAAACTCCATAAACTACAGAGCTAAGAGCTCTTTTAATAAATTGACTGTGGATTTTATTTTGGGTTCTGTGCAGAACAATTAAAATTGGTACCTCATGTAAGTAAAACCCTAGCTCCCCTCAAAGCAAGGAAGCTATTCTACAGCTCGAAGGCTCGAGGTTGAACAAATCTACTTTTAAATATCCAAGATATTTGATCTATGGGATCATGACTAGTATTTTAAAAGTCATCTTTGTTCTTGAATAGACTTTTATAGAAAAAAAAGGATGCGTGTTGCGACATGTCAGCTGTCATGCAACTGAATATTCTATCATTGACTTCTTATTTGAAATTGGAAAAAAGTGTTTCTAGGATAATTTATGAGATAATCGAGACCTACCTAGCCAAGTTACGAAATGATCGATTAGTCATTGCTTTGTATCCATGCTTGATCACTAATTCAATGTAAATGAAAGCAATTTTCTCCAAAAGAAACATAGGCTTGTATTTGGTTTGAGACGTTGATGGAAAGATAATCTTGAGTAATTTCATTGAATTAGCTATTCGAGTATTAGCGGTCATAGGAATTTGAATCATCGACGATTCGATCATATTTCGATTGTCTGCGATGGTCAATGGTCCATCTAGTGTAGACAAATTTGAATTGCCGTCGACCAGAGTTGAATCAGATGCTCTATTTGCTGTATCTTCAGTGGAAGCTTGTGATCCTTTTCCTGTATTGTTCAAAGTTGTATTGACTGGTTTCGTAAGCGTTCTGTTTCTAATCGTGATCATCGATTGAGTAAAATTATCCGAGCATCGATCGGGCAATTCTGAATTCGATGACACTTGATGTTCTTGTTCTTCATCCAGAAATTCTTTCGAAATGCAATGCGATGAGTGAAAATTGAACGGACTCAGCTGCGGGTCATTACGGGTCTTCGTCGCATATGTCATCTTAATTTTACTGCGTACTTCTGTTTGACGATGGACCATGTTATTGTCTCCTTGAACCATGATTACATCGTTCGCATCTAGCTGATTACCATATCGTCTGTATTTCCTACGAAAAAGTGGTGAATTCTGCAACTTTATTTCTTTCATAGGAGATTTGCTAAACTCGATACGCGAATGAAAAGTTTCTCACTCAACTTTTATTCGATCTCGTGAAAAAAGTTCTATTGATCTAGTACTGATGCTTTCTACTTACATCACTAGTTTCAATGTTTCCAAGACGAGTGGTTTCTTGATTTCTTCGTCAATCGGGCTTGGCTCGTGAACAAGTTTGCCTGAAATGATCAATACTGAACTGTCTGATATAAATAATCACTCTTACCAGTTTCATTGACGTGATCAAAATCGATTCGTAGCGAAGGATTTGCATTGACTTCAAGTAAAATTGGTTTTAGTCGATCAGTGAGAATAATATCAAAACCGATAATCTGCAAAATTTATCAAAATTTACAGTTCTATTTCTGCTAGTCGTGGTTGTAAGAAGACTTCTGTGAAACAAGCAACGTGGGACAAAAAAAACGAAGCCCAGGGCAGGATGCTGAAGGCCAGAAGCAGCACAAGAAATAGTAAGTAGAAGGGGATACGATTAAATGCAGAACAAAGGCCTGTTGCAATGCAGACTCGTCCTGACGTGTCTTATCTATGTACGTCATAGAAATAAGAATTGTTAACTTGGTCTTTGAAGTTTATTAATATTCGAAGAGAATATTTTTGCTCCGTGTGTTTATTCTCTTTCATGTACAGATGTTCGAATACTAAGGATTCAGCATAAGAGCATGATGGAATAACGTTAGACTAAAGAGGGCATTATTTTTCCATTTGAAAATCATCCTTCGACATATTGCACACAACCAATCAAAAATAAACAACGATAGAGTATTAGAAGAAAATAAATGCTGTGCCCCATCCTATCCTTTGAGATGACATAGCATGGAATTGTCCGCTTCCACACGAAGTTTTAATGAATAACACGTTCACTGGTAACAGAATGTCGCTATAATCTTGCTGAACTTAGTTTATCTTATTCTAAGTTTTTGCTGCTTTCCGATCCATTCAAGTAATCAATGTTCTTACACCAGAACTCTACAACACACGACATATTTTATATGTCATTGTGTTCCTATTCGATAGATCTCTGCTATGTTCTGACAATGACGGCATCAGTAAAGCGAAATTTTCGTTCTAATGAGCTTATGACTTTACTCATGCTAATAATTTTCTGATTTCTCATCTGTTTACCTTCAACAAAAACTCTTTTACGTTTTTTTTTATGAAAGATGCTAAATTCTATTGTGGTTTTTGCACAAATTCTGGAAAAGCTAGAGAAAGCTCGATGAATTTTTAGGTATTCCATGGAACTTTGATTCGCCTGTCAGACGCCGAGCTGTTACATTGAACAGATGTTTCCTATAATGTTCGTCATAAACACTGACAGAACAGAAGAAATTTCGTCCAGTTGCACTCAAAAGAGCTAAGTTTTTCAATATTGAATTGAAAAGTTACCCACTTTTCCTTATCCCTTCCCACCATTCAGCACTCGTATCACTACTGTTTTTGATACCTGAAAGCATCTATTTTGTTTTCGAGTCATTGGCAACTCCATGGTGTATTCGACACGAAGTTCAGGTAAGATGGCTAAGACCGTCTTATTTATCATTTCTTTGATCATCTCTTTGGCTCGTTCGATTTCTCTCGAACTGAATAATTGACCCAGTTGTGTCCAGACAAGGCTTAATTTTCGTTTGCTGGCATCGGTTTGTTTCTCATCTAAGGCATGTTTGTAATTGGCACTGCGTTTGTTTAACGAATAATTGGTTAAATGCATGAACGTTTCATGAAGATTTTTCTTCGATGGAGCTTGATAATTGACCGTAGCGAAGCGCACTAAACCTTCGTCATAGAGCAGAACTTCCAAAGGATCCAATTTATGAATCAATACATAAATTCTCATATCGAATTTAAGCCCATTGATTAGTAGCGGTCGATCAATGTATTCTGACAATGAATCCGAATGAAATATTGAATTCAGAATTTTATACATTACCTTGAACGATATGCGACCGATTAGTGACATTACAATGAGTTGGATCTTGAATCAAATAGATGCCTGCGCCTTCTGATCCATCTATATAAAGCGAATAGAAATTAATTGTATTTTCTATTGAATTACTGAACAAACCTGATGGCTTGACGATGAAAGTTGTTAAAGGTCGACGTCGGCGTCGCTCGTTGTTGTGTATCGAGCGAGCATCATTTTGGAATTGTTCGATTTGTTCGGGTAGAAACCACGTTTTTGGATAGAAATCGAATTCATCCGGAAATAGCATTCGCATGACGTTCAATGAACGTGTCAAATTGCTTTTACACATGATATCACACATACCTATATGTTATATAGTTCTTAGATTCGAATGTGGATGTGGATGGAAAATATTAAGGATTTAAGTGTGACTTAGGAGAGAAGATAACTGTCTTCAATAGATCTAGTCCTCTAAACATCTATTGTTGACATCGAAAGCCACACATGCACTCCACAAATATATTGCAGCATATTGTCTATGTAACTGTGAGTTCTTCCAACATTATGTTCATGCAGATCTCTTCAGTGACTTCAGCTCTCGTCTCTCGTCAAATAGACGTGCAGAAAGTTTCAGCATAGATTTCTCCGGCTCGTTGAAGCCGAACAATGCAAAAGAAATAATTTTCTGACATTATTTGCATGGCATATAGAAACCCTCTCACATTGATTGTGTCGTCTTTATGAAGGAAATCAACAGGACTTTTCTTCCTTATTTGATCACTAATCATAGTGCAAACCTACTTGCAAAGCTTCAGCTTTAAAATATAACGGGACACTCATCATCATTTTTCATTCTATGCAACGATAGTCAGGAATATAGCCAATAGTGGAGTGTAGTGAAGTATACACACCTCCTTCTTTGAAAATTTTCAGTTTTTTTACAGTGACAATCTTAATTCTTTTATTCGAAAAAGTTCTGACACAAAAAATATACAGTTGAACATGCCCAAGTTTGAAAATAATTATATTTGTAACCGTACCACTGTCAAACTACTTCCTAACAAGTGTTTACTTTTTTCTCTTCGGTCAATTCCTAATGGTGGAGTATCAGAACAAAAAATGGATAGCAAAACAGACCAAGCAGCATTGATTCCAGTTCTGCTTTGATTGCTGAAAATTCCAATCTACAGCGTGTTCACAGAGCAGAAAGAAGAATATTTGTGTTAAAAGGGATTATCTATGTCAAAAGTGACCGATATCCGATGGTAAAATATTGCATCCCGTCTCGAGCGAAGCCCTGCTTTTCTTACTTCCAGTGTGATACACAAATTAATGTAAAAAGTCGTTTTTTTGTGAAAATGATGTTAATTGTTTCCTTCGTACTACTCGGATTATAATTAAAAATTAAGGCTACTTGAAACTGGTATTCAATTAATCACACCGAGACAAAAGTTAATTGTTTTTGAAAAGGCATAGCGTGAGAATTTTGTTTCATACGATGAAGGTGTCGTTATTTATGATATCATACCGGGAAATTTGTTCACTCTAGCTGAAGTTAAGCCGAAATTCCTATTGCCTTCGTGAAATGTTCCTGAATGCCAATAGATATCTGAATCGGTGAAGGAACTAGTAGTACGCTAGAATGTAAGATAAAATCAAACATGAAGGGAAGATCGAATCAACCTACTTCTTTCCAGTTGAGTTCTTGTAGACACATTCGAAGAACTTCGATATTCGATCGAGCTTGGCTGGTATCGACTATAGGTACACGTTTGCCTGACTTTTTATATTTTCTTTGTATTGTTGGTGACACAAGTGTTTTTGATGTCATTGTTGAGAAATTTGCATTCGACAATAATCTAAAAAATATTTATTTTCTTGAAATCCTTTAGATAGTTTCCGGATTTATGACTATATGACACTCTTTACATGTTTCCGAGCTTCGAAAACCATTTCCACATAATCTAAGAAGTATTCAGACACTTAACTAATCATGATTCATACCTCGTTTCAAGCGATATCTTGTAGCATCTTACTAGTTAGTCAATATCTGGGATTTTCAGGGACCCAGGAAGTTAAACATCAAATAGTTGAATCGTTTTGGTATGAACACAAAGTCTAAAAGAAGACGACATTTTACCCAATCTTATCGTATACTGTTTTCGAAAATCTCGAACACCAGTGTGTGTAGAATAATGTCCTGATGTTTTAGGTATCATCGCCTTCAAGATGAAATCAGATAAAACAAGAAAATTGCATCGAATTGATAGTTACCATAGAAATATAAAAGCAAATGAATCGTTTAGATTCATATTTCATATCGATAACGGTCTCAAAGATGAGAAAAAAAAATTACTTTTAATAGTCTTTTCTTCTTATATTTATTACGGGAGGCAACGCAATTCTTATCGCACGCCATACTAACGTCACGAAGGAGAGATGTTGATGGCAACCAGCCTGTGATTCACCATCGACTAGAAAAGAAAAGAGAACAACATGATTCAAACAATATTTTACCTTAAATTGTTGTTTTTCGACTGCTTGACAACCATTGTTACCATGATCTTGTTGGAGAGAACGTGTGCGAGAAAAAATGTATACAAATATTTCACTAAATTTATTGAGGATTCCTGTGTATTCGTCAAATAGGACTATGGGTATTCGTTTTACTTATACCCACACTTATACTGTGCGCCATCTTCAGAGAATAAACATCATTCCATAAATTAAAAGTACTAGTGAATGTTGAATATTGATGATTTTAGAGACGAGAGGATGGAGGTCGAAGATATGCAAAAAATTGATGACGAATACTTGCATAGTTTTCTACATCCTCTTGAAATTAAAATTGAATTATGCTGGATAAAAAATATTGAAATGTTCAAAGAATCTCGTTAAATTGAAACAATAAATGATGTACAACCCCGTACTAGTGATCTCTATATGCCACCACCTAAACTTCGTCTTTTACAAGTAAGAAAGTTTGAAATTATGAAAATAGAATTCTATACGTCGTGTTTTCTTAGGTATCATTAACTGATAAATCAATGCCTGAATATCAACGTTTAGCATAGGAAGCTTTAAAAACAGTAGTAATGGTCGTGCTAATAAGGTAAATAATCAAATTTACCAATCATTGTTCATGGTCGTGGTTTACTTGCTCGTAGAATTATTTAATTACAAGTAGCATCACCATGTTATACTCCTGCTTATGCAGAATTAAAATATATGTTATTAGTAAAAAAAATTCCACAAATTGGTGAATTAATTATTAAACGTCTTATATCATTATTTCGTCGAACATATCAACGAAATGATAGAAAAAGTAAGTAGAAAATGGTATTTAGAATTTTTTGAAGAAAAAAAAACAGTTTAGCCACTTGCATAAATATATCATTTTTCAAAATACAGATACATAATACAATAAGCAGAAATTATGACAGACCAACCCGATCTTGAGACCAGTGGCATATCTAGATAGAACACGCTGTGTAGTAGCTCAGAATATTTCTTATTTAGAAAAATATGTAATGATCAATCGGATTGATTCAAGGAACATCACATAACATTTGATTTTGTATCAGACAAGGGTATTATGCATCTATTGTAAGTTATTTACATGGGCGTGTAAAACTTCTTTTCATATCTGAATCATTTTACACTTCAGCTAATGAATACTTATTGTTAAATATTCAATTATTTCCTTTGGAATTTTGTCAATCTCAATGAAGAAGTAGTCTTTGATCGATAAGCATTCCTTTTCTTTTAGCAATACAAAAAAAATCAGATAGTTTTGTTTTGAAAGTATTCTAACAATGGAACCATCTATGCTGGTACGCAAAGAGATTGACTATGTTCGGGTGTGGATGGATCTTCTTCTTGTTACACGCCCACATCCTCATGATTCTGATGCATAGTTTTTACTCAAAGTGAAAAATGACATCGCAAAATATCAATTTACTGGTTGATAAATTTTTAGTCTTATAAGAACGTTAAGAACTTGAAGTTATTTATTCTGATTATAACTTAACGATTATGTAAGTAGATATGAACTAACTGATTTGTCATTACAATGTCACGTAACTTTTGATAATATTTCACTGAATGTATCCTTTTTTTTATCTCGAAAATTTTTTTCATATAATCGAAGAAAGTACTTGAGAAGTACGTAAATCAAAATCGAATTGTTTTAAAAGAGTAACTAGGCGAATTTTTCAATCACTCTCAAAATGTCATTTTAGATGAGGAGCAATTTCACAATAATCTATACTACGAGCAGTTAAGACCAGAAAAGATTTGAGTTGATTCAAAAAGTAAGCTGAGAAATTGAAAATAGCCTTATTTTATAAGAGTTGTTTCAATTTTAGCTAGCTTAAGTTTCAAGCTTATATTTGAACAGCCTACAAAAACTTGTATCGGCCTAAAAACGAATAACTCATTCGATAGAACGTTTGTTAACAAAACAATTGACTAACATCGTCAATAGATCTGGCATTGATAAAATAATTGTTTCTACATAATATTGCTATTCTAAACTAGTATCTAAAGGCAATGCACAGTAGTGTCAGAAATAAGCTAAAAAGTGTCTTTATTCAGAAGATCTAAATTAAATTGAACTATTTAGAAAAAAAACTCTTATTTACGTTTCCTTCAGAAATTGATACAGATTCTAATCATGTAATTTTTTGTAAAAATTATTGGCGGTAAAAATGAATGGTCTTATCATCACTTATCCATTATTCAGAAAAAAAATCCAGGATAGGGTACGAATAAATAGGTTCTACTGTGATCGACAAACAAAAAAACAATGGAAAAGTCTTGTCTTGAAGCAATTGAATTTCGATTGATCTGTTGAATTTAATAAATATCAATAGTAAGATTTACTTCAAATCCGGAATAAATAGATCATAACTTGAAAATGGGATTGCATCTTTCTTTTTTTATACTATTTTCTAACCAAAATCGAACTTTCAAATGATTTATTTCTTGTATAGATTGATTATTCGAATTAGATGACGACGATGATCGGTTTTGATTTCGAGATATAACTACCAATGGTTTCTTTTTTTTTATGGGTGTGGGTGTGGGTGTCTGAGGTTTTTGTTTAAACCCAAGCCCACACTCACATTCACGCCCACATCCATTATTTTGCAGTTCACAAAATGAACCGTTCTTTTTACTCCGTCAGTTGACGTTGATGCAAAGTCTATGCTTTTCGAGGTGTTATGTTAAAATGTAATACTACTTTCTTTTAAAAAAAAAGACAAACATTTATGCATGCAAATACACAGTCAGACAAAAATTTCGAAAAACGCGTTTAAACGCACAATCGGGAACCGCGACTGTGATCCGTTCACGCTCATTAAAAAAACGCACGAAAACGTGTTTATTGACGTTTTTTCTAGCTTTCTGGGCGTCAAAACGGCGGAAATTCCAGTTTTTGAGCGTTAAAACGCACTATTATTCTAGAACTTAAAAACAATACGTTTTAACGCTCAAAAACTGGAATTTTCATCGTTTTGATGCCCAGAAAGTTACAAAAAACGCCAATAAACGCGTTTTCGTGCATTTTTTTAATGAGCGTGAATGGATCACAGTCGCGGTTCCCGATTGTGCGTTTAAACGCGTTTTTCGAAATTTTTGTCTGACTGGGTAAAACCTCATTTTTATTAAAGACAACGACAGAAAAGATATCAAAATGTTTTTATCAAAAGAGCTAGATTCTTTGAAACAAGATAAGAAATAGCTCACATGGAAGGCTACTTGATGTTTCATAGATACTTTTACATGCAGAACGGAACATTTAGATGGTTATAGAGGGTGTGGGTGTATTTGTCGATCTTTTCTTTATCCACACCCACACCCTCTGAAAAACACTTAGATGCTCAATGAAATCTATTTATCGATTTGTCAATGAATTCGCATTCTATACAATCAATGCAGCCAGTTCTTCCAGAGAAAAACAAAAGCATCAGAACTCATGTCATATTCAGGATCAAACATAATACATCTCATTACAATGCTCAGAATGTGGTATAAGAACTATCATTTTATTCTTAACTACATCTTCCGTTAGACTGATCACGTAAGAGTTCATAGTTAAATTTAAGACATTTTATCATGAAGATAAGAGATTCAATTATTTTCGATAAATATGAACACTAAAAAAGCCAGACGAAGCTAGAATAAACTTCAATTTGAAAAAAAGTTACCAAATGGATTCGTTGAAAGAGATATCAATTTTTTGTCAGCGCTAGAATAAATAACTGTAAACACATGATGGAAATTATTGAATAAAAGATAATAAAACAATAATTCATGTTATGTCCACACGAAGTATGGAGCCAGACCTAGTCAAGAGAAAAAAATCAATCTGAATTATAAGTAAACATCTATATCACGTACCTTCAGGTGTTAGATACCTGGGTTGATAATCTTCTTCATCAAGAAAGTAAATTGGATATTCGACTACTAGACCTCGAATGCAATCCAATTTCTCTTGAGCCTAATGATAAAAATTGCAGAATAATTCAAGAATCGAGAAAAATGTATATCGAAACATACATTCTGAGGATCGACATCTTTGAGTTTCGGCCTTCTCATATATTCGTCAATTTGATCAATTCGTCGAACACAATTGGTTGGCACTGGTGCAAAAACTTCTTCGTAGATCAACATATTCGTACGCGCTGCTTGTCGAAAATAATTGTAGAATTCGTCTGAAATTGGATCGTTCACCTCGATATTATATTTATTCTCCCATAGAGTACCAAGCAACATTCTATATTCTCATAAAATTAATCATCTATATTCGATATGATAAGAATAGAAGAACATACGAAAAAAGTTTTCTACGCCAGCTAGAACAAAATTTTCCAACACGAACTAATTGACCATCAAAATGACACTCTTCCTCTTCAATATCATTTATTACCACACAAAATTCACTATCGCGTTTACCGAGTAACGAACGATCATTAATATTAGCACTACCACATATTGCCATTCGATCATCGATAATCATAAATTTCGAATGCACATAGACTATTTCCGTCACCTAAGTAAGGTACATTTCAAATTAAATTTTAACAGCAAAATCTTCCGATACATACTAAATTATCCATCAGTCTATCGTATTGTCGCATACCAAAGAAACTAATATAATCATTGGGTGGAACACCTGAAAATAATTCATAATACGATATTTGATAGACTGATTAAGCCTCTTCCGTAATACATAGGGTGGTCAGAAAGTTTTGTCAACAGCCCTCTAAAATTTCGTCCTAATTGTTTTTATTCCTCATATTGGTATATTCTAGTAGGAACATCTGCTGTGTATTAAACCATCAATACGAATTTTGGCAACTGTCATTTATGTCAAATTTTCGATTGATCCTTTAATATCTCTATTTCCAGATGGAGAAACTGTGCATACGCTCATATATAGAAACTCATTTATTATTAGGTTTAACTGTTACACAAATCCATGACGAATTAACTACTGCTTATGGGCAAGGTTACGTTTCACATCGAACAGTTGCTCGATGGGTTCATCGATTTTCAAATGAACGAAAGTCAATAGAAGATAATCCTCGAAGTGGTCGTCCAATAATCGTTATTTCTCAACAAAATATTGATGCTGTACAAAATCTGGTGAATGATGATCCACATATTAGCATTGATTTTATTGCTATTATCTTGGGCATATCATATGGGAGTGTAGATACCATTCTGAAACAACACTTTGGTTTAAGAAAGATAACATCCAGATGGGTACCTCATCAACTGACCAACGAACAACGACAACACCGTGTTAATATTTGTCTCGAAAATTTACAAAAAATTGAAAACGGCCCCTGGAAATTGTGTGATATCGTCACGAGCGATGAAACTTGGATCTATCATCGCAAAATTAAATCGAAAGAACAATCTAAAGCATGGGTAAAAAAAGATGAAAGTTCTTCAACACAAGTGAAAATACAACAATTCGAAAAAAAAACAATGTTTGTAATCTTTTTCATGACAAATGGACCCGTACTTATACATGAAGTATCTTTCGGAATATCGACCAATGCTATTTATTATCGTGATTAATGTTTAAAAACGTTGATAAAAAAGTTACATAAGAAAAGACTATCATCAACAATAAATGGTATTAAGCTGCATCATGACAATGCACATCCTCATGTAAAAGATATTATTTTTGATTATCTCAAAGAACAAAAACTCAACGTTGTGGCTCATCTATCGTATTCACCTTACCTCGCAGCTTCGGATGTTTAGCTCTTCAATTGCTTCAAACGTAATCTTGATACATATCCAGATTCTACAAGTTTGGCTAAAGCAATAACCAAGGAGCTCAATTCAATATCTATTCATGAATATCAAAAGACCTTTCAGAAGTGGATTGAAAGGATGAAACTTTGTATCGAACATTTACTGTAATTAGATTTGTAAAATTTTTTTTTTATGAATAAATATTTGAAAGTGACAGAACTTTGTGACTACCCTATGTAGAAAGATCTCAGTGACCAAAAATATCAGATCTACAGTCAGAAATTTTCTAAGAGAACAGGATCGGAGCGTAGTGAAGACAAACGTCGTAGCATAATTTCTTATCGAGCTATATCCGAACAGCTATGAACTAGTCAATGGAAGAACGTTTATTATCGTTATCCGACATGTTCTTTGATCTATATGACATGCATAATCCTGACAATTTAGATATAGAAGTAACTTTGGACTTCAATGATCAGTTTCCATAACTGACTGAATAAACATACATTGTCTCAATCGTTTAGTCTCATATTCAATAACTAACCATTTATAGACAAATAAAACTGATAGACGCTTGGAAAAACTCATAAAGTCAGTTCTGTTTTCTTTTTTATCTAACTCTTGTTTCTTTGAAATCCTTAGCTTCGTAGAGAATGAAAAATAAATGTTGAAACATTTTTGCAGTCGAAAGTTCTATGGTTCTAATCATGTGAAAAATGCTTTGAAGTAGTCAGATATAATACAAGGTCATGTCTTACCCGCTGCTTCAAGTCGTTTGAATAGTGATTTTTCAGTCTTGGTGATCGATTGCATAGTGTAATAGAGTGTGGCTCGAATAGTATTTGCATTATCATAACCAGGTAAGAGTGGAAGTAGTATGTATACACGAAATTTTTCTGCCGATCTAATAATAATTGAATAATCAATGTGTAAAAAAAAGAAAAGAATGAAACACTTCTTACGTATGTGCACGTAGAACTCGTTGATAAAGAGCGTCTCCTACTTGATTGTGAATCTTCGAGCTATTAGTGAGTGTGACGAAATACTGATTCTAAATGTGAACAAGCATGTTCATTTTTTATTAGTTGCTTTTCACTAGACAAACCTCAATATAGATGAAATATTTGGCAGCATTGATCATTTCTATGTAAGCATTCTGAATCGATATTTCGGTAATTCTCGTACCTGCTGACCATGGACCAATCGAACGAACACACTATTCATAATAATCAAAAAAGTATCTGATCGATCATTTGCTTAGTTCTCACTTACTTGAGCATCAATCTTATACGGTTCACTGTTTAGAAATTCTTTCCAATTTTCTACAGTTAATTCTTCTTTATTATCATAGGTCTTTGGCAACAAGAATGGATACGATTTGTTGTTGAGATATTTTTCGTACTAAAACAGGAAAATCGATGATTCAATTGACATGTTTTAGGTAAAAATAAGAAACCTTATGAATATTCCAGCGTTGTATAAAATGTCGTGCTGCATCTCGTGCTACTTCACCGAAGACTACCAACCCTCCATCGTGCCAAGGTGCACGCGGTACAACTGTTCGATCGATGAAATCTATCAAAAATTGTCGAATTAGTAAAAATAGATCGATAGAAAAGTAAAATACCTTGATAGTATTTTTCGACAGCTTTCATCTTTTTCTTGTAGAGATTGGAATAATCTTTGCCAATAAAATATCGAGTTTTGGTATCCATCATCGATTGAGACTTTTTCGATTGTTCTTCGTTTCGACTCCCTTTCTGGCCTTCAATACTTTCAATTGAAGAACAAGTCGTTACTTGAATTTGGTCCGCATTCTGCAACGTAAGTTTACTTATTAGTCTACTCAATTTTTTTCTCTTACTTGGACAATTTTTTCTGTCACTTGTTCAAATGTTTCGATCGATAATTCGTCATCGATTTCTTTTCTTTCTTGAGCAATTTCGGATACTATATCCGATAGTGTATCATTCGTCTTACCTAAATCGGTTAGACTAGAAAAGAAATTGAAAGATAAAATGCATTAGATCTTAAGTTTCATATAGGAATTAGATTCTGAATTAAATTAACTTACCGATGAAATTCATCGTCCCATCGACCAAAACATAAATCTAGGCCACCAACAAATGCAATTTTCTGATCAATAATCAACATTTTCTCATGATGCGTCCAAAATAAATCCATACTAATCCGATGATGATCGGGATGACGGATTACCTTCGATTAGTAGACTATACTAATGAAATTCTAACTGATATTCATTTACTTTAATATTGCCCTGTTTACTCATGTTCATCAAAACTCGTTCGGTATGTGCACTGTTTATATTGTCAATGAAGGATAGTTCTTTGTAAACCATCACATAGACATGAACACCATTATCCTTTCGACGAAATGTACAGATTAGGAAAGAGAAATACAGAAACATACGTACTGCCACTTTTCCTAGTAGACTATCCAATCGCATCGAATCGTGACCGGACGGTCGTATAAGCATGATTTCTGGAGAGATCCACCAACAGGCAATAAAAATTTCTTCTTTAGCCAATAAAATTGCTTTTGCAATCGATTCCATATAACTTTTCCCATTGATGAACCTATTTGAGTATAATAAAAATTGTGATAGTTAATGTCTTTGACATAAATACCAATGGCCCAATTGTTTATAACGAATCGGAGCGAATGAATTGAAACGATGGGAATTGACGTTTAGAAAATCATGGGCTCGTTCTTTTAGAACATTGAAGGATTGCATCCATTTATTATAATTATGAAAATTGGTACATTTCACCTTCAATGTTCGTTGTAAATTTCTGAGTTGAATGCCATAATGTGTATCGGAATTGTGAGAATCTTCTGATACTTCGAAATCTTGATCAACCAACATTGGAAATCCAACTTCATAAGCATCTGGACAAATGTAATTGACAAAAGTGTCTTTGATAAAAAACCATCTGTATCAATAAAAATATACGAAATAAGTACGAATCTTTATGATACAAATAAACCAATGCATACTTTCGATCATGACGAAATATAGAAGAATCAAGTATTGATGATAGTCGAGGTAACAAACTGTGAATATGATGAACATCATCTGATTGCTTAATAAGATAGTCTTCCTTCACACTAATTGCTAATCCACGAACGAATGAAACATAACTGACTTCGAAAAATTCACACTGAAATTAGAAACAAAATTCGTTGAAAATCGTTCGAGGAGCATTCTAATGAGTATCATATACAATTTCCCTATTCTTTATTATGTATACTACATAAAGGAAAGCTTCCTTTCCGGAACCCGAAAATAAGAGAATCAAAATTTTTCACCTTCTACACAAACAATATTTCTCAACAGGACCCAACATGTTTGTATAAGTATTTTCCTTAAAACCTTTTTTCTACGAAATTTGGCAGTTGTTTTGCAAAATGAACATCAATGCAAAAACACGTTTCTTTTGATAGTGTCTTCAATATTTTAGTTTTCCTTAGCTTCAGAAATTGTGTTTTTTCATGGAACTTTTGCCATAAAAAATGAAGTATAGATTTTTGGTGCGACATCAGATCTATCGAGCACTGAGAATTTCAAAAATTTTTTTATCCAACCATTATCGAAATACACTGTAAAGAGAAGAAACTTAAACACAAAAGTTTTCATAAAACTCTTACTATAGCTGGATGATTGCGGAATTTTGAATATCGAAGAATTTTATTGAGATAGTCACGAAGTATTTGCTACAAGCAATGATAAGACAATTTTGAAAGGAAATCTGTTTTGTCTTCAGTGTACTTACGCAACACTCATCATCAATATTATTATTGACGGATCCCATTTTGTCGTTCAATAGTGGAAAATACGACCAGTCATTATTTTTTTCCTGCGCCCTAGAAGGCATTGCACGTAAGCCACGACCAACGTTGCTCAATCAATCTCACCGATTTGACTGATATTTTTACAATAGGTAGGCTTAAGAGTCTTAGAAAGAAACTGAAAATTTCAGATCAATCGGATGAGCTATTTTAGAGATATAGACGATACAAGTATGATGGCGTAGGTCCCATTTGGAGTGCTCTTATAGTGCAATACTTTCCAATAAATCTCCATTTTCTCGAGAACAACAAGAGATATAATCGAGATTTTTTACCACAAATACTATCGACGATGGGTTATATTTTTATGGTAATAAAAGTATCTCATCACTGGATGATTTTTACCTGGCATTATATATCATTTTCAGAAAATATCCTCACGTAGGTACGGCAAGTTGATCGAATCAGTACCCTAGAATAAATCGAGAGTAGTCTCATCTAAAAGGGCACATCAAAATGCATTGACTGATGTTTTCAAAAGTTTATAGTATTGAATTTTCGTAGCAAAAATTTTTGAATATGATTAGAAAGGCCGAATTTGGGGTCCGATTCTTACTATGCAGATTGACGATTTATTTCCAAATGTTTAATTTAAGTGTTTGAGATGAAAGTTCATGTTGAGAAACCTCTAAATTAAAAATTTCAGCTCATTTTAACTTGTCTGTGAAAAATGGTGAAGGAGCTACTTTTTAGAATCTTACAGGGTAATATATATAGTCCGTCTAAGCTTTCTAATAGTCGTATTTCAGTTAAAGTGCAACCAAAAGATCTGAAATTTTCACCATAAACTATTGTTATCAAGTCCTTAATATACACAAAGTTTTAGGTCAAAATTCGAATTTTCATTTTTCTTCATGGTCCTGAGGGGGACCGCAGCAATTTCCCATACATAATTCGAAAAAAAATCAAAGTTCGAATTTTGACCTAAAAATTTACACATAGAAAGGGCTTCATGAGTATAACTTATGGTAAAAATTTCAGATCTCTTGATTGCACTTTAACTGGAATATGAATATGAGAAACATTGGACGGACTATATATGCTATCCTATGATATTTCACAAAATTGAATGTTTCACCATTTTTCATAGACAAGTTCAAATGAGTTGAAATTCTTAATTTAGAGGTTTCTCAACATGAACTTTCATCTCAAACACTCGAAAATAAATCGTCAATCTGCATAGTGAGAATCAGGTCCCAAGTTCGGCCTTTCTAATCATATTCAAAATATTTTTGCTACGAAAATTCAATACTATAAACTTTTGAAAACATCAGTCAATGCATTTTGATGTGCTCTTTTAGATGAGGCTACTCTCGATCTATTCTAGGGTACTGATTCGATCAACTTGCCGTACCTACGTGAAGATATTTTCTGAAAATGGTATATAATGCCAGGTAAAAATCATCCAGTGATGAGATACTTTTATTACCATAAAAATATAACCCATCGTCGATAGTATTTATGGTAAAAAAATCTCGATTATATCTCTTGTTGTTCTCGAGAAAATGGAGATTTACTGGAAAGTATTGCACTATAAGAGTACTCCAAATGGGACCTACGCCATCATACTTGTATCGTCTATATCTCTAAAATAGCTCATCCGATTGATCTGAAATTTTCAGTTTCTTTCTAAGACTCTTAAGCCTACCTATTGTAAAAATATCAGTCAAATCGGTGAGATTGATTGAGCAACGTTGCTCATGGCTTACGTGCAATGCCTCCTAGAGAACAAGAATTTTTCTGATGAAAAAAAAACCACTGTGATAATCAGCACAAATAGGCGAGACAAACAACAAAATGAACCGCATTAGACGATTCTAGTTTATCGGTTAAGAAGCAGTGTTAGAAAAATAAAATTCACTCCGACATTGATTGGCAGAAAAATCAGAATGTGTCTCATTTGTTTTTTTTTTCGTTAATCTTACTCGTTTAAAGTGCTGATCGAATGTTTCCTCTCTGTTTGAGCAAATTCTTTGAGAGAAATATGTAAATCACTGAAATTTTGATACGATTTAGATGTTATCCATTCGAAAGGCCCATGTTGAATGGTCATATGGTACCTATAATGAAGAACGGCGATCAGCTCGTTTTATTGTTTGATCAACAAGAGAATACCAATGGCGATTAGAAACTTCAGTAGAATTTCTGCCGGTTTGTTCGGCAACTATCGATTTGATATTAACCGAGACGTCCGGTAAAAATACTCGACCATCTCGATCATAGATATGTGTGAAAGGGTACTGATTAGCTGCTAAAGACAAATTATCACACTAGAAATGAGATTACGAATAACCATACGAACTTTGTTGATGAGAGTTGTCGAACGAATCATTGAAATTATTATTAAGATAAGGTAAAGATTTGTTGTCATTTCGATTCAACTGATCAGCATCGATTATTAATTCAGCCATGGTGGTATCAAGTCTAGCCATAATATTTACGTTATTCGATGATTAGTGCAAGAAAATACAACCTATGTTGGAAAAATAAACAGCTACCATGCATGCATATTAATTTGGGTGAAATCGAAAACTAAGTTACGAGAAATAACGCGTCGCGTTTTGAAACAAATCGAAAATCCATATTTTTACATCTCAGAAAGAAGTTTTATTTTATCGCAGCCTGCATTTTGTTCATCTTCTCCGAATAAGTCTACGATAATACTATAGTTTGCATTCAAATATTTATTGTGAATTCTCTAAGCTTGAACAGAAATTTTCTGAAAAATTCAGAGAATCGATTATTAGCGAACAGAAATATTATTTATGAAACTTAAATTCGTCTGTAACTGATTATCGAAGACAGAACACAACAGAGAGAGAGATCGAGATTTTTCTTTAACTTTGTGTAGAATAAAAATTGTCAAAATCGAAAGAATGAAAAAAAGTACAGTCTAACTTTGATCTGTTTGTCGAATTTGATATTATTTTGGAAGTAGATAAACAATTAGAACAATTACGAATGAATCTATTTGGGACAAATGAGAATATGTTACAAAATATATTAGTGCACAAATGAAAACTTGTCTGGATGCGTTGCATAATGAGAGACGTGAGTCAATGATACTTAGGGCATACCAAAAGTTTTGGCCACGAAATTTTAATTTTTATAAAACACTTAGTATCGAAGGTTTCATTGCATGGATACATAGTAAAATGTCTTGTCTATAATAATGTATATAACAACTCTATGCTGGATTTAATTTTAGCTTTATTTTAGATAATATCTATGATATAGTGAGTATACGACCGACTTTTGTAGTCATCTTACATTTCCTATATGTGTAAAATACTTGAGGTGTGACCAAAAGTTCTGATCATACGAAATAAAAATATATCAAATATTTTTAATTTTATTCTATCAAACGTTCAGAATAGTTGCCATGATTATTTATAAAAAGTTTGATCCTTTTTGAACAAATTGTTAAAAGTTTGTTTGAGCTCTTTTTCTAAAAAACTTTCTTAGTCGTTTGACAATTGTACGAGCTATTATAGGAATTTTAAAAGAAGCTCGTTGGGCAAAATGCTTATAACTTTTTAACGAAGATAGCTAGAAACTTTCAGTTTTTACCATTCGAAAGAGGAGATCGGGGAGTGTAAATCGATGTAAAAATAAAATTTTCTAAAGGATTTTCTAGGTCAACTCTATTATTGTCTTTTAAAAGGAACATGAGTAGATAGGATCCTTATAAATTTTTAACAGAAAGAGTTGGAGAGCTACGGTTTTCAGCATTCGAAGGATGTGGGTGTGCGTGTGCGTGTGGATGTGAGCCTTGTTTCTCTTCACAGCTGCAGCCACACCCACACCCCTTCTAAATGAAGGGATTCAGCAACATATGCATCAATTTCTCAATTGCTATATATAGTTACAGTGTGTGCCGAAAGAGAAAGCAAAACAGATATCTTAAGTTCTATCGTGTTTCACGATATACTTCCGTTTTGATAATATGCCTGTCACGATCTGCGAGGGCATTAACATTGCTAAAATGTCTGTTGCGTCTCTGATGAGCCGTTACTAAGTTGTATGTCAAGTCTCTGATTGGTGGTTACCACGATGTCTGTCACGTCTGGGAGGGACGAGGTGGGAAGAGTGTGTCTAAATTTCTACCCTATACACTTCAGCACTCCTTTAAGATTGTGTTTCACTATAGGACGTCATGGTATATCATCAAAATTTAGAAAAAGCTTTACTGATGCATTAAAATTCAGCTAATAGTAATTATATACCATTTTTATTGCTGTAAGCTAATAAAAAATTGAGCAAAAATTATTAAAATATTGAGTTTTTTTCAATTAATTACTGAGCTTTCATTATAATATACTGATCAACCAATTACATGCCTAAAAGATTTCAAAGTCCAAAAACTTCAAATTCAAAATCTGAGGTCTAGAGATTTTTCATAAAAATTGCGATTGTATCGTTCTTGCACCACAAACTTTAAAAATCTATCTTGTAGAAATATGTTTTTTCTACCAGATACACTATAAAGAGTGTTTTTGAAAGATCTGGAATATGCTAAAAAATGCAAATTACTGGGAATAATCAATACAATCTGACCATAAATCTACTCGTATTTCGGCGATTTAGACATCAAAAGTGCATTTTCAGCAAAACGAATGTCATATTCGGAATCAGTACCAGAAATTGAGCGCAAAGAAAATATAATTTTCATTATAAACAATTTTTCATCAGAATTCTACCTGAAGTTAACCACAAACGAATTTGAGCGAGATAAAGATCTAGAACGAAGGAGAAATACGCGGGAAATTCTGACGAAAAATTGTTTATAACGAACTTTATTTTATTTGGACTAGGTTTTTGATATTCATTTCGAATACGATATTTGTTTTGCTTAAAAATGTATTTTTACTGTCTAAATCATCGAAATATGAAGACACTGTATTAGTCATTCTCAGTGATTTGCATCTTTGAGCATATACCAAACCTTATAAAAATACAACCTATAGTGCATCTTATAGAGGAAAAAAATCTCTACAACATAGACTTCTAAAATTGAGGATGCAAAAAAATTAACACGGTACCTTTTGCAAGAAAAGTCTAAAAATCAATTGTTTCATAGGGAATTTTTGCATTTTCTGAATTGCTAAATATGCCGATCGAGACATGAAAAGTACTTCATCTTTTTCAAATGAAATGTTGCTCAAGAAAAACTACCCGAAATTAAGTGAGAAAAAAGTGAAATACGACCTTTTATCTAGCGTGGTCTCGGTATTCTATTGAAAATGATGTCTATGTAGGTCAATGAGTGCATTTTTCTAGCAACCAAGGTCAAAGAACATCGGAGGCATTTGCGTAGCGACGGCGAAAATTGAGATTGCGTGAACGTGTGAATTTGTTTACCAAAGAGGCAGGAGGATATTTGTTAACACATACGTTACCAAATCAATATTCTACATTAACTACCAAAACCTGTAGTTCAGTCAAGGGGAAAACAGCGGACTTCAAGACTTCAAGACTTCAAAAGACTTCAACAGACTTCAGCCGCAGTGACTTCATAGGACTTCAAATGACTTCGCAAGACTTCATTAGACTTCGTATCACTTCATGGGACTTCAGAAGACTTCCAAAGACTTCGTTAGACTTCACAGACTTCGTGAGACTTCACGGACTTCATGAGACTTCACAGACTTCATGAGACTTCAGAGACTTTGTAGGACTTCTTGAGACTTTATAAGACTTCATCAGACTTCATAAGACTTCACAAGACTTCATAAAACTTCGCCAGACTTCACAAAACTTCACAAAACTTCATAAGACTTCACAAGACTTCACAAGACTTCACAGGACTTCAAGAGGCAGATTTCATGCGTATCAAACAACCTTATAGAAATTACATGAAACCTCTATAACATGCAAAAAACAAAACTTATCAAATAGTAGGGGTGTCATTTACCGTTTACTTTATAATAAATATAAATTATTTATCATTTAATTTACGCGTAAATTAAATGGAAAGTAAATATAAATTGACACCCTTATTCATAACAGAGTAACTGGTGCCTTCCGAGAACCACGAACAGGAATGATATTGAAAATTGATTGCTCCCAAAAGTCTGTTTTGTGGAACTCACGTATATTTTCGAAGAAAATAGTGAGTGTAGTTTTCAGTTCGAGGTTTGGCGGCTCCCTCTCTCCTCACCCCATTACAGACACTTAGCAACGGAGAAAGAGAACATTACGGACATACCCCCCCCCCCCCCATTACCGACAGGGTGTGGGTGTGGGTGTGGGTGGGTGTCGTTGTGGGTGTGGGAGTGGATGCG